TTTTTTGTTTATATTAAACGAAAAATAATAATTTTTAGAATAATCTGAATTATTTTGAATCAGGTTTGATCTCAATTTGACCTGATCCAAAATATGCATTCTGAATCAGATTACAAATTGGATTCAATCTGGTTGGAGCACTATTCTTACCTAGTATCAATTGTACTAAATCAATTAATGAGATTCTTCTCTTAAAATTATATTATAATTGATTCAAATTATTACAAATAAAATTATATATTAATTGTTAGTAAGATCTTATTATATATTTATCCATATATTTTTTTAACTATTTTTTATTAACTGTAATCTCTCTTGAGTGAAAATTTGTCCAGCTTTGCGCAATTCAACAGATAACGAATTTAATTTGAAATATTTTTGTGTTAAGAAAATTTCTCTTTATTCTCTTCATTCTTAAATTATTTCTTCAATATTTTCTTTTTTAATAATGATGTCGAGATAGTACATTTGAAATTTAATTATTAGAATAATATAATTTTTTTATCAATTGGAAGTCAATTTGCCGAAGCATTTCCTTGAGTTTAATCGACATAATGTCAGTGTTATTCAAAAATCGATTTCATAATATGCTTCTCATAAATGTGCCATTTAAAAAAATGAGCATTTGGCTCGGGTAGAGGATCTTTTAGAAATTGACATTAGCAGAACAAAAGATTATTATAGCTGAAATTAATTTTGATGATACCAATATAGTGCACGTCAGAAGTAACCTACCCCCATAACTTTCCGTAGATCATGTGTAATGTACCTTACGTCGTGATGTCCTAAAGTGACCGATTCATATTTGTCGATCAATTTTTCATTAGCAATTCGAACAAAAATAATACCATTTGATTTGTCTAGTCAAAACGAATTGAATGATACTTTTTTTGTTCGAATCGGATTACTGGAGATTGAGATAACACGTCCTAAATTGGCTGATTAATTTTTGTTAAATCCAAAGAATCTGATGTTAATATTTCGACGGCCAGTGATCCGATTTGAACAAAAATATTACCATTTGATTCACCTCGACTGGACGAATCGAATGGTTGTATGCTTGTTCAAATCGGATCACTGAACGTCAAGAACTAGGTTATTGAATGTTGAGATGTGTGTTATGAAATAACCGATTATACATGTATGTATTTTGTACGCGAACATACAACATACGATATAGAAGCTTTACTAATCTATAAACGATCAGCATTTGTAATGTTCTTTGTGCTCGGAAAATTTTGGTACATCACACATGATCTACGGAAAGTTACGGGGGGGTAGGTTACTTCTGACGAGCACTGTAGTAAGAAGATTTATGTCATCTACAAATATAATTACTACTCGTGGTTCCTCTGATATAATCATTTCACCCAGTGCCATGAGTGCTATGAATAGTCCCGAAGCAATGGGCCTAGCTATGCGCACATTTCATGTTCGTACACGTTTGATCGGCTTTACTTATATGTGCAAGTAATACAAAGCACATAACAAATACATGTACATTACAAGCTAGCGCTAGGGTTAGAGCGAGAGTAAGAGTAAGATTATATGTAAAATTGCCTCCCCGACATTTTTTTATTAGTACTTCAAGTTAGATTTGAACATTTACGCATTTTTTATTTCTTGTGCCGGATTTGTTTTGCCGGGTTGACCAAAAAATTTACGCTTCCTTATTGGTTTGCGTCATCCTGAATCCACGCAAACTAAGGATGATCAGTCAATTGTAAATCAATTTCTATTACTGGTATGAAAAATGATATGTATATGTAAATTGACATTGTCAATCGATATTATTATCGATAGCAATACGTAGCTGTTATTTGACACCGCAAGGAAAAGAAACAACAAGATAATCTGTAACACGCGCCTTGAACAAAATTATGTATTAAAATACTGGTTTGATTTCGATGCTCAGTTTTCTACGTATTGGTATCCATATTTTGATTTATATTACGTGCACAAAGCCCGTTTGATCAACTGTGACATTTCCATTAACAGTTTCTTTATAAAAACTTAATTTCATGATTCAATAGAAACAAGTTGTTTACCACTTTTTTTACCTTTATCGTTGTAAGCTTAAAAATCAAATTTAAATATATTCTATTTAAGTTAAATGTTATCTATAAATTAACTTAGCGTCCTTTCCATCAATTATGGAAAATTCAAGACCAATTTATTGTTAGTAAACAAACCGGATTTGCATTGACATATATAGACTTTCTGCTAATAAAATTTTTGTTTTTTAATTATATGAAGGTCCAATAAATGGTAACTGTTTTTCATTTTTCATTAAATTAGCAATAATTGTTCTTATCGTTATTCTTCTTTAGATCCAACTTTTGTTGTGAAACCAAGGGATTCAAATGATAGAGGACAAATATGGAATTATGACTCTAATAATTGACATTGACATGTGGTTTACCATACTATGTTAATACCGTGGTAAATATTAATATCTTTTTTTTGTTCTTTGAGATTATATATTATTCATTATTCTATTTTTTCTCATTAGCATAAATAATTGTGTCTCGAAAGAATTCTAGAAGTTTCGTCCTAAACTAAAGGTTCTTTATAATCTTTTGATCGTTTGTTTGTTTTGACATATTCCCTTTATCTTACAACATTCCACAAACTACTTACAATCCCGGTCATAAGACCCCTGATAGCTTTCTGAAAATTATGTGTAATGCTGAAATTTTCCGAGCACAAAGAACACCACAAACGCTGATCATTGATACTTATAGATATATATTGGGTATTCATAAACTTTCATATCCAAATACAATAAATCGGTCACTTTAGGACATAATATCTCAACGTCCAGTGATCCGATTTGAGCGAAAATATTACTATTCGATTTGTTTGATCTAGACAGATCAAATAGTGGTATTTTCGCTCAAATTGGGTCACTAAAGTGACCGACTCATATTCGTCGATCAATTTTTCATTAGAAATTGATCGCCAAAAATTGAATCTGCTACTTTAGGATGCAATATTTCGACATCCAGTGATCCGATTCGAACAAATATACTACTGTTCGATTCGCCTAGTAGAGACGAATCGAACAGTAGTATATTTGTTCGAATCGGATCACTGGATGTCAAGAACTAGATTATTGGATATTGAGACGTGTTTTATGAAATGACCGATTATATTTGGGATGCGAAAGTTTATACCCGTTATAGAATCTATAAAAAGTTGTCAATGATCAGTGTTTGTGCTCGAAAATTCAGCATTGCACATAATTTTCAGAAAGTTATCAGGGGTCAGTTACTTATGACCGGGACTGTAAGTAATAACTATCAAAGGTAATAGTCGTGAGTTCAATTATTCCTGAGAACAAAAACCTATTGCTAAAGGCAAACAAACACCACTAACTATACGCTTTGTTTGTCCCACATACAATTTAATATTTTCTTTGTGCGATTTCAATACTAAACGAAATTTGAATATGAATTAAAAATATCAATTCAAATGGATATGAAAATCCTATCCTCACTCCGTAGAACTTAAATAATGCGATAAAGTTATATTTGCAGTTTATTAATTCGACATTCTACAACATTATTTTCTATGAAATTTTCTCATGCTTATTTGAAAAAATTCAGCACTCAAGCATCTTTGAGTGAGTCAAAATTAATTTTGGTTATTATCGTTATGTTCTAATTTACTTTACTTTGATAGCTCTTACTCTCTCTATTTTTTAAATATCATCTTTTTTCATTATTATCCTATTGTCATTACGTATTGTTACAATTTGTTAGGGAGCGCTATTATCACGTGATTTTTGGGTAGGTGATCTATCACATCTTAATACATGTACATGTGCAGTAATATCGTTTTTAAGGGTATGTACCTTAAAAATATTACGTGATAAAGTGCTTGGCGAAACCCTTTCCAAGTATATAAAAGTTGAAGCTTATCGGTCAATCCTCAATAATCAGTACTGCGTTGATCTTAAATGTTTTCGAAATTCTATATGGTACATACGACCTAGTTACCAATAAAATTTTAAATCTTTTCACACTTTTACAAAATATATATATTTAAAATAACTTCATAAATTAATAGATTAGGTTATCAACTTTCATTTTATGAAAGCCAATTTCAGTTTTCTTAATTTTTCATATAGTAGTATTCATTCAAATTTTGTCACTTTTTATATGTTATTGTGAATTTGAGACATGGTATAAGTCACATGATTATGTTGATAACTATTTTTAATTGGCTGAACTTCATCATGCAAAAATACATTATTATTTATGCAAATTCTAATTGGCATTGCATATAATAACTTAAATAGAAATGGTCCACTTTTAAATTTTAGACTGCGATCATGTGATTTGATGGACTAGGTTGTATACACTATATGTAAACCAATCTCCATTTTCATTGGCTATTAATGTATATCAATTTCCAAAGATAGCCTTATATATGTTGTGCCTCAGATGTCAGATGTCGCTTCACGTGATTTTATTCGGCCAACATTAACCTATTCACCAGCACTAATCGTAATCCTAACCCTAACGCTAGTACATGTAATACTCCATCTTAATTTAGGCCGATCGACACCTAACGCAAATCGACAACAAATACATGTAGTACATGTAATTGTTTGTCAATTTTAGCCAATGAGATTGAAAGATTGGTTTTTATACAATGCGAACCTTTTAAAAATTCCCGACTATAATAAAAAGTGATTGTTTATATCGCTCAATCGTTATATAGAACTTGGAATACTGTATATACAAAATTTATGCTTCTGGCTTTATAAAATTAACTTAATTTTTATACTAAAAAGATCTTTTTAGCCAACTAGATATATATAAATCAATATCAAATGTTTAGACTAAAGAATGATAACATAACGATAGGAGATTTGATCTCCATAAAATCACAACAGCTATACACATTTTTTCAGGTCATAGTTATATTTCGTGTGTTTACATATTTTTTACGGGTGGTGACGAGAGGTACTAAGAAAAAATAACTTTTAAAATTTATTTGGTTGCCGCATTTGATATTTCGCCCCGTTTAACGTTATTGACATTCCTTTTGAAAGGAGATAAACTGTAGAAAGCAGCTTCGCCCCGTTTAACGTTGTTGATATTCCTTTTGAAAGGAGATAAACTGTAGAAAACATTATCGCCCCGTTTAACGTTGTTGATATTCCTTTTGAAAGGAGATACACCGTAGAAAACATTATCGCCCCGTTTAACGTTGTTGATATTCCTTTTGAAAGGAGATACACTGAAGAAAGCATTATCGCCCCGTTTAACGTTGACAATGATTGAGCCGCGTTTATAATTGTTGTTACCATTATTATTTCCATTGAGCCAACCGTCATTAAAGTTTCCATTATTATTTCCATTGAACCAGCCGTCGTTGAAGTTGCTATTATTGTTTCCATTGCCACTGCTTACATTACTGTTCTCATTGCAGTTGTCATTGAATAAACTGTCGATAGAAGTTAAGGCAAAAACCAAAAACGCAATATAAGCAATAGTGGCAATATAAGGAGTCGTAGCACTGTAAAAAGATTTTTTCAATGCCATTTTAAAAAAAAATAAAATTGAGTTTTTCGTTTTTTATCGTCAGGCAGAGATAGGCTCCCCTTATAGCAAAAAAAAAATTATACAGCCTTTGGTCTTTCATACGCCAAAATTGGTTTAGAAAATCTCTATTTTTAGTAAAGCAATCATAACGATAACGATAACGGATATCGATATATTTAAGTGATCGACAATACCGATACATTTCTGATAATTTAGTAAACAGTTATATACATGTATATGGAGTTTACAGTATATCTTTGGCGCAGTTTAATTCTCGTCGGTAACTAAAGATTGCCAATACGTCGATTTCCGTTCTTGCTAAAAGAATAAAATATTTGATATATACATGTAATTGATACATGAACTGAAAATACTCATCATACATATCGAATTAAGTTTTTCAAGATATCAGATGTAAGCAAAGAATCTCCAAGCGAATACCGTAATTTCAGGTAAGGAACCCCGCGTCGACTACAAATTATTTAAGTTTTTTATAAATACCAATAGATGGTTGCCTTGATTTATTCATTATAGTTTTGCTAAAAGTTTTAGAGATGATTTTTTCCTGTTAAACTTGCTTACGATAATGTTTAATATGAATTACTTGAAAATAAGTAATCGGAATCTTTTAAAATGTAGAAAATTGTTGATTTTGGAGATGACAATAAGTTATTTATAACAATCGCAATATTTTAAGGGTTACTTATTATAGTTGAGCAATTAAACTTTTCTAAAATTAGCAATTTCTAAAATGGCTGGGATTGATTAACAGTCCTAATGAGACAGTCGTCAAAGTTACCATAACGATAACGAGATCAGTTTGCCAAAGTAAAATTGTCTGACAGTTGCAAATACGAACCTTCTGAATTTTACTATTCTCTCCACCATGATTATTGAATCTAACAAAATGTAAAGACGATAATTCAAGCAGCGATTATAGCTACTATAACAGAAGAACGATGTTAGTGTTGAGGTACGGAGTAACAACGCGTTCTGGTGAAACTCTAGTAATTTCATAATGTCGCATGTGCTTTTCTAATTGGTGTAATTGTATCCTGCTACTGCAAAAGGAAAGACTGTTCTCGCGGCAGACTCCAATGAACAAAACAAATAAATTAAAAATTTTTCATACTCTTTAAAAAAAGATTGATATTTAAATATTAATTTGGCCATTTTTGGATTATAGCTATAGTTATCATAACTTATTCGCAATTTTGTTTAATTGAGCGTTTGCTCATTTGGACAGTAAGTCCTGTATACCTATATCCTAATTAATGATACCAGTTGTCAGCATGAATCAAATCAAAATTGGCAATTTAGATATAATTATTTTACATTGGGATAATACAAATTAACTGATATTAATACTGATTTGGATAATTGTAAACTGGGATATGAAGCAATTATTATAATCATATAATTTAATTAGGAAATTATGATACAACAGGATTTAATTAATCCATTTTTCTGGTAAGAATAAGAAACATCACTATCACGTGAATTCATATCGAATCCCTGTGATTGTATTGTGCCGGCATCACTTGAACTATTCTTGATTTCAAACTCAATTAATTTACCATATTATTATTTATAACTGTTATGTTTACAATGAAAAATTAAACTATTAATTATAAAAAATAACAGTAATCAGCTCACTATCATAGAGGCTGAAAATAGTACTAAAGCTATGAATGTATTGCTATTGATGTGAATGGTTGATGCGAATAATGGATTTTATTATTGACGGACTTCTTGTAACAGCAATGGAAAATAAAAGGTTGCCTTTGTATATGTGATGGAGTCAGTAGAAAATATTTATAAATTTGTTTCTTTTTTACTGACGTTATCCCATATGTTGTGAATATGGAAACAGTTAGTGCTGGAGATGATATTAGTGTTGCCAAAAGATTCTAAGTAGATTTCCACTTACAGAATATACAGTCCTCTCCTATTAATATAATACTGATTATTATGATATGACAAAACTTCTCTATTCAATAAATTATATTTATTCTTTATCCTTAAATTGTCCAGCAGGTAAATTTGTCCATTGAAATTTTTTTTAGCTTATTTTTGTATATCTACTTCTAAGTTTTATAAGCTTAACTCCCTTTTTCTAAGCTAAAATAAAAATATAGCATATTTTTAATTAATATAATATAAAATTTATAATTTTGATTTACAATTACTCAAAATATAAATTTTTATTTTGCTTTTTATTTTATTATAATATTATCTGATGAATTTTTGAAATGAAAAATAATTTTATAAGAAATAATATTATATCTTTTAGTAAAAATATACAGTCAAATATCTCTATAGTCACCATTTTTGAAAAAACAAAATTGGATAACTATAAAGAGAATATAATTATGTGATGAATTTTTTTACTATATTTATATAAATAAGAAAGCAAAATAGGGTAATTATTAAAAATAGCACAATAAGTACATAATATTTATTTGTCACTTATTATAATATATTATAACTTCAAATTTTAATAAGTCACAACTAGTTGCAACTAGATAATATTTATTTGTTATTATATTATAATAGTTATCATATTATCTTTAGTGACTATAAAAATAAAATATTAAATTGCTTTAAATAATTTAAAAGTAAAATAAAAAATAATATATTTATTAAATTTCTCAAAAAATACTTTAAAAAAACTATTTTAAATTATCTATATCTAAATTTTAATTATTTAATTTAGAATTTATTTGATTATTAAAAAGTAAATTATTAATATTATTTTATAAAAAAGTATATATTTAATTTAAATAAGTAATTATTAAAAAAATTAAAAATTATTTTAAGTTTAAAAAATTCTAAATTAGTTAATAATATATAAAAAATATATAGCATATAAGAATATTATAAAAATATAAATATTTTTAAATATTAAAATTTATAAATATTATTAAAATTTCTAATATAAAATTTGCTCTTCTTATTAAAATATATATTTATTAATTTTTTAAGAGAAATATTATTTTTATCTAATTGAATTTCTTTTTTAAAAAAATAATAATATAAAAGTTCATCCAAATTACCAATTTAATAATGAATTTCATTTTGTTTAACAAGTAAAAAAGAAAATATAATTTCAAAGAGAAAATTTGATAAATATAAAAATTATCTTCTTTTTCTTGTTATAGAATAAAAAATATAATTTTAAACTTAGAAATAATTTAATTAAGTAAATTAAATTTTTATAATTAATTCATATTTCTTTAATTAAATATCAAATTAAAATTATAATATAATATAACAATAAAAAAATTAAATTTTTATAAAAAATATTATATAAAAAATTGTATAAAGAATAATATAAAAAATTATATTATAATTAACAATATCAAGAAAATATATTTTTACTAATTTTGGTTTATTTTCATAACTAAATAAAATATTAGTTATATTACAATCACAAAAATCTATAATTTCATCAACAATAATTGAAATATATTTTCTGATTAAGTCTTTTAATTTTTTGACTTCTATTTTATAGATTTTTGGTAAATAATATTCTCTTAATTGATTAGTATTTACAATTGTATTTTCTATTAGTTAAATTTAAATTTAAAAAATTAATATAATAGTTATTAATTTAATAAAACTTTTTAATCTTTTATTATTTTTACAATATTTGAAAAAATGAATGAAATTTTCTATTTTTTCAAATGGAATATCAATAACAGCAAATGCTTTAACTAAATTGTAATTAATTTCTTGTTTTTCTAAAGAAGAAAAAGAAAAAATAGTTTCTTAATTGATTGTTCAATTTTGTTTTTTATTTTTATGATTTTTGAATTTTAAATAATTATCTAAAATGATTTTCTACTATAGTTAATTATATATTTGCATGAAATGTAATATAGTTTATTATTATCAATATAAAAATCTTCTTAATATTTGGAATATTTGTTTAAAATAAATTCAGGTATAATCATTTTGTTTTTTATAATTTACTGAATTTTTCAAATTTGTTTGATTAAATATTAAATTCAACATAATTTTTAGATATAGTGAAAAAATAATAATGTAAACTTTAATAATTATTACTTTTTAATTATTAGTTATACATTTGTTTGATAATGCAAGTTATAAAATCTACATCATTATTATCATTATGTAAATTACGTACACAAATCACATTATAAACTACGTATTCTGCAAATGCAGTAAACTGGACACCAACACAAAGAAAATTCACAGCATTACTTGGTGCGTAAAAGTATGATGCATTTTCTATTTTGATAATCAATATCGATACGGTATTTCTAAAATTAATCTTCAAAAACAAGAGAGCTTAATAAATATACGAACTACATAGATAATTATCTATAATATCTCGACTATTCAAAGAAAAATATCAGACAAATGTTCATGCGCAATATCTTCATCCTCGAGGTCCTTGCCTTTGTTATACAACGACGTCAAAACGTTTATTGCTCGATGCAAATCCCGACGAGTACCCGATCCTCTTTTGTAGAGGCCCGCAAGAGGAGCCATAGAGGTGGCATTCAAATTGGTCATCGCAGCTTTCTTAATCCAATAGAAATAACTGTAGCTATTCTTTTTCTTAATTTTTCCTTCTTGAAATACTTTTGCGAGTCGTAAATAAACAGGCGCATATCCTGTTTCGGCGGACTTGCAGTACCATCGGAATCCTTCTTCTGTGTCCATGGGGACGCCTGCACCAGCTATATAATATTCACCAAGTGTCAATCGTGCTTTTCCATTTCCTAAATACGCAGCTTTTTGCAGCCAAGCGACCGCCAATTCCCACGACTGGTTAACAATTCTTCCACGGGCGTAATATGACGCAAGTTTCTCTTGTGCGGGTGAAAACCCATTTTCCGCCGCCTGTTTATACCATAAAAAAGCTTTTTCTTTCTCACCATCCCCAAACGAGAACTCGTTCTCGTAAATGTATGCGACACAACATTGACAACACGCCACTCCCTCTTTTGCTTTCCCGTAACATATCGACATCGCCACAAGTCTTGTGGCAGAATCATAACATTTATCGAAAAAATGCCAGTAAGCTCGTAGACAGTCGGTGTGCCATCGTGATTCCGCTTCGACCAATTTTGCGGGGAATTTGTGTGATTCTATTCCGTTGAACAGGAGATAAAGCTTTAGTTTTGATTGAATGTCTTTAATGTATTCGCCGCGATAGATCTCATCAAAAAATAATTTTACTGCACCGTCTATCAATTCATTGTTGTTGTCTTCTCTATTAGTACTGTTGATTTTAAAATTGTCAATATTAAAAATATCATCGTTTCTGCAATATGACATTATTATTGTTTATCGTTATTGAATTTTTTGAACATGGAATTATTTTAAGTGTACATGTAGCGAGCTTTATACTAAAAAGTTACACAACAACGCCGATGCGCATGAATTGTTATCGAAACTCCGGTGCCCCTGACGATCTGAACTAAATGTACCATGAATTTTTAAATATCGATATCGATATCGATATGAACTAATGAATAATCTTGACCAAATACATGTATATAAAAAATAATTTACGTAATACATACAGTATGATTATACATGTATTAAATTATACATGTATATTGATAAACATACAAATGTTATGAATTTAAAATTAATACTTCATGAGACTAATTCATTTACTATATATAGAATTATTAGATTTTATTTAAGTTAGTTTAGTAAAAATTTTAAACAAGTACTGTCTTCTATTTTTTTATAAATATTTTGTACAAATTTATTTTCTATTATAATTATAGTGGCTAACAAAATTATGGTGATTTTATTAATAAAACACAGTAAAAATTAAACTTTTTGTCTTATATAAAAGTTTTTAAAACAAAGATCATAATGTATAATTTAATATACAGTGCAATCAAAAATAATGAAACATTAAAATTTATTAATTAAATGTGGATTTTTCTCTTTAGATAATATTATGTATATTTTTCAGATTTTTTAGATTTAATCTGATAAAGCTGTTCTAATTGCATATAAAGTCAATTATTTTTTATATGTTTTA